GTGTCTGTTTTTTCATTCTGAATGGGTGTGTTGTGGTTTCGGCGTTTTGGCAGTGTGTCATGGAGTGTGGTGTGTGTCATTATGTGGGTGCAAAGTGGCTTTGGTGGGTGGTGTGCGTTTGCGTGTATGTCGGCTGGGTTCTGCTGGCTGTTCAAGTGTGAAAGTGTGTGGGTGGTAAAAGGTGTGTTTGGAGACACAAAAAGAGGGCAAGAAATCAACTCCAAAAGGTAGGGAAGCCGAAGTGACCTCCACAGTATTTAACTCGCGTTGGGAACTTCACTTATACTGTAAAGCACTCACCGGCAAATTTGCAACCTTGCAACAGGTATGTGGAACAGATAATCCGCTCCGCCCTAATGGGCGTGAATGGCAAAGTGCCAAGTAAGGAAGATCACCGCTTTCCTGGTTGCCCTGAAAGCACCAGGCTGGTGCAACCCACTGGGGGCGTGTTTTACCAATTGGTTTCCAGCGAATGTCTGCATCTTCAACAGCGCGTGTTCCAGCGGCGCTGGAAGTCCCGTAGAGAACGCATTTGTTAAAAAAGTACTGTTCGGCAACTTGGACCTGGCTTCATGCTGAATTTAGTGCTCTTGCTGTAACGGACTCAGCTTAAGTGGACTTCATCTAAGGCAAGAAAGCCATTTTAAACCTTAACATGCGCTTTAATGGAGAAGACGAACGCTTTTGCAGCATCGACCTTTCCAAAGATCACACGAACCAAGATTACCAGTGCCAACCCGTGGGGAGGGTGGACCAGTTCCATGGTAATCAGCCGGGATCTTAAAGGGACACAGTGGCCGGTCGATTGATCAGACGGGGAACTTCTCTGCCGTTGCCGCACGACTTTCTAACAACAAAGCGGCTTTTTCTTCTCTTCTTCCCTTCTCCTTCTTCCATTCCGCCATCAAAGTAAACCAAAATCTTTAGAAGCCGCCAGCGTTAAGCGTCGAAGCTAAGGAGAAAGCACTAAGAGAGATGGTAAAGAAAGCTGTGGTTCAGCAGAATCGAGAGTTTGAAGAAACTGAAAGAAAGCGGAAAAGGATCGCTAAACTTGAGGCAGCGGAAGCTAAAGCGGAGAGAAGCAAAAGAGCGCGAGTGGAGGGATGATTTGAGAAAGTCTTCCGTCAGTGGCCGGAAGCTCCGGGTGTCCCCGGCGTACTGCACGTCTGTACTACAAAAAGTCGATTTTTCCAGCCACGGAAGCTCCGCGTGTCCGCGTACTACAAAAAGTCGACTTTCCAGCCACGGAAGCTCCGGGTGTCCCCGGCGTACTATACGTCTGTACTACAAAAGTCGACTTTCCAGCCACGGAAGCTCCGCGTGTCCGCGGGCGTACTACGTTTGTACTACCAAAAGTCGACTTTCCAGCCACGGAAGCTCCGCGTGTCCGCGTACTACAAAAAGTCGACTTTCCAGCCACGGAAGCTCCGGGTGTCCCCGGCGTACTATACGTCTGTACTACAAAAGTCGACTTTCCAGCCACGGAAGCTCCGCGTGTCCGCGGCGTACTACGTTTGTACTACAAAAAGTCGACTTTCCAGCCACGGAAGCTCCGCGTGTCCGCGGCGTACTACGTTTGTACTACAAAAGTCGACTTTCCAGCCACGGAAGCTCCGAGTGTCCCCGGCGTACTACGTCTGTACTACACAAGTCGACAAAAAAACGCAAAAACACTACGGTTTTCGCGCCGCGACCACGCGAAAACCCGCAGAGGGGTTACGTTTGCATGTCAAGAAACGCAAAAACACGATGGTTTTGGCACCGCGACAACGCCGAAACCCGCAGAGGGGTTACGTTTGTATGTCGCAAAATGCAAAAACACGACGGTTTTGGCACTGCGCCAACGCCGAAACCCGCAGAGGGTTGTCTGCGGCCACGAAAAAAAGTACCAAACACGACGGTTTTAGCACCGCGACCCGGCGATTACCCGCAGAGGGTTGTCCGCGGACACAACGAAACGTAAAAAAACGACGGTTTTAGCACCGCGACCACGCCGAAACCCGCAGAGGGTTGTCCGCGGACACAAAGAAACGTAAAAAAAACGACGGTTTTGGCACCGCGACCACGCCGAAACCCCTTGCCAGCGCTGGATGCTGCCATGATTGCGCAAATCGCAGAGCAAGTGCTTGCAATTTGAGCAGCACAGATCAGGAAAAGATGTTGAATGAAAGGAAAGCGTCCGAGCAAAGCCGATCATTGCAGAATGTGATGATGGGTTAGCGGAAGGAAGATGCAGCGGAAGAGAAGGTTGCGGATGGCGAAGACACTTCGTTGTCGGAACTGCGGAGTTATGCCTTGAGGCTCCATGGAAGTGCTGCTTTCAAGTGGGAAAGCCAATAGAAAGTGCTTCAGTTGTGGGAATGTGTGTCTTGAAGCTGTGTTTTACGCAACTCCCACTGACGTTTGAGCTTGTTTTGTGGTTGTAGAGAACACGTGGCAGAGCAGAGTTTTCACGTGTGCAAAGTTCACTGACAAAGCCTCCGGCTTCTTCTTTCAGGCGATGGGGCAATGTGCCAATGCGCCCATCGGGAGAAGATGCGGATGCTCTGAGCTGTTCACATCTCAGTCGGCGCTTGCAAGAAGGTAACTGTCTGCGGACACTACCTGGTGAAGCCCCTCCCTCTTCCTGGGGGAGGAGGTCTTCTGTTTTGCCTTCTGTGTGCGCCTCTTTACGCTGGCATTGCGTCTTCTTAACGGCTTGTAGTTGCCACCTCACAACGCCCTTTTTCTGTCCTTGGAGAATCACGCCTTTTGCCAGTCTTTTGCTTGCATGCCTCCGCCCATCTGCACCCAACATGAATTGGCCTTCGAGCTTGGAGAACTGTGCACCCTTTTGACTGAGCAGTATTTGCATGTCCACAAGACCGGCCTACTAAGCTGCTGACGTAGCAAAGAGGCGTCCACTTCAAAAAATAAAAATAAGAGGCTCCCGCCCCAGAGGTCACGCCCGCCAAATCAGTCCGTAGGAGACATCACCTTATTCCGTTCAACTCAAAAGTTCTATATGTTTTGACATGAAGAATGGAGCAATGCTTTGTGCATGTTCGTGAGATCTTTGCATTTGTGTTTGCGTGGCAGTTGGCTCGTTTCGTAAGCAACGGCAAAAAAAGTTTTCCCCTCCGCCCGCCTTTTGTTGGACGCTTGTTTGGCCGTTCCTGTTTTTGGGCCCTCCTTCCAGCCATTTGATGCTGCAGGCCTTGTCATGAGTTTGCCTCTTCTTGCATGTGCAGCGCTGCTTTGGAGGTAAATGGCACGCCAATGCCAGTGCGGTTGCATTGCGCCTTGTATGTGTAGTTAATCGGGACGTGCGTCGTACCGTGATGTACCGTGGTTTGTTGTTTCACGTCACGCGGCGCTCACTTTTCCGCTCACGCGCCCCCAAGGCGTGGCGCTTGCTTGAGGCATGTTAGCCACATCATGCTCCTGTCGGGACAGTCGGCAGCATGATTCGGGCTGGTCTGCGTTCAGCACCTTGCTTCCGACTTTGCTCCAAAGTGAAATAATTGAAAAGAGCGATTGCCTCCACTGTCTGTTTACTGTCGCATGCAGTCGTGAACATAGTCAACCTGTGTTCACGCATTGTTTGGCAACGGCATGGGATGCACCACGTTAAGGTTTGCAAGTGCACCAGTCCAGTTCCGCCGCTCGCACGGTCGGAGTCCTCAGCCTTGTCACTTCTTGCCTCCTGCGGTAGCCGAGCCAATCGGGCAGCGGTTTGTGCTTAAAAATGTTCTTTTCACATGCATTCGCTGCCTACGGTTATTGTGGCTGGCCCATTCCGGCCAGCATTCCTTCGTGTCTGCTTCCAGCATCCGTTTCGGCTTGCCTCCAATTCTGCCTTTCGGTCGGGTCCGACCAACACTTCTTTCTGTGTCAACTAGGCAAGGACGCTTGCTTGCACTTTTGAAGTACTTCTGATTTTGTCGCATGTGCGCGTCACGGACTCATTTTGGGAGGGTGAGCATTCGAGTTCACGCATATGGGTGTTGCCGGAGTTGCCGCCTAAGCCGACATCCCATTTTTGTCAACAATGGCAGCGGCATGTTGCAATTTCTCATATTGGGTTTGCATGGCTTTCAACATTGCAATGCAAGCTTCAAGTCTTAGTTGTTGTTTTGACACCCACACGTGTGTTTGCCAAGACCAAGCTTTGTTTGCATTGTTCGGCTCGTTGGCTCGAACGTATGCCAGACAAGGGCATGTTTGCAGAATATTGTTTTAGCTTTGAAGCAGTGTCAAAGAACTTGTGTCGGAGCCGTATGCTGCACGGCGATCTTGTCCACCATGTAAAGCTCTTTTGCGAAGGCATGAGCATAGATTGTCAAGTCTTCAAGCGGTTCGACTCCAACAGATACCGATTCGTGCAGATGCCTTCAAAGGGCCATGGTTTTAAATATGTGCCGAATGCAACGACCATGTAACAGCTCTGGCGCCGCACTCAGGTCAGCAAGTTCAGATGCGCAAGTCGCTTCTTTGATTAGCCATGGATACGGAAGCACACAACGCATGTCTTTTGTGTGTGGTCAGTGTGCAAAGTGTTGCGTGGAAGTGGGCTTGTTATCGGCACTGTAGGTTGTGACTTTATCGATTTGCCCTACAGACCCTTTGCGCTCCAAACTCATCAAGAACAGTCCAACGAGGTTATTGTTGTTCAAGGCAGCAAATGCTTCAAGTCTTGTTTGTGTTGTTTTTTCGTATTGTTCATTTTCAGCAACTACGCCATGGGGCATGATCTCCATCGCAAAGGGCCTCTTTGGTGTACTGCCTGTTGAGGAGGATGCCATACTTTCTGGAGGATAGATAGGCGCCCAAAGACAAGCAAACAACGGTGGACGTGTCCTATGGGATGAAAAAATGGGATTGTCTGGTGCGCTGTCGATACTGCCGGATTATCCGAGCTCAAGGAGGAATCGTGGCTTTTGTCAGTTGGCTTCCGTACTTGTTCATCGTGGATAGCTTGAAGTAATCGCATGACAAGTTCAAAGTCGCTGGAGGCGGGAATGTCGTATGACGGACCCGACGTTGGAAAGATGTTGCCCGACAGTGTCTGCACCCCAGCCTGCGATTTGGCAACAATGTGTGACAGCTTTTTGATTGAGACGGAAAGGATTCAGGTGAAAGTGATAGGCAGCACCTGCCGAGAGGTACTTGATGTCCCAACTAGCAGCGAGATTTTGGACAGCAATTGCGGTCGAATGTAGTACTCTTGTGAGCTGTGACCAATGCAGCGTCGGCGACAATGCACCACAGGCCCTCACAACATTCTGATAGGCGAACCCGCCATTGAATCATAATTGTGTTAGATGGGGTAGGATCATAGATTGTGAGGGATGTCTTGGTCATCTTGGTTAGTGGTGACAGTTCTCGCATTTGTGTCCATCATTGCGTCTGTCGGTGCAGTTTCACTGCATAGGCACACGATGTAGCCAGCAGAGCAAGTCGAGCTCCCCCCCGCCCCACGCCATCTAAGCCCGAAACTCAAAACTGCTCAACTTCGAGGCCTCAAGCCTGAAACCACCCAGCGCATCAGCTGAGGGTGATAATGGATTTGGGCAGTCTCCACACGACGACGCTCATGCGGTTTCGATGTACCAGGACATGGTCCTTATGCATTTCAGGAGGACTTAAGCAATGACAGTGTAAAGCCAACCGATTCAAACCATTTGATAGCAATCTCGATCTTCCGGGGACATATTCGAAGGCAGGTTTGGGTTTCAGCACATGCGAAGCTTGTATGACACCCCATGCAGAGATCTTGTAATCGCAAGGAATGTGGCGATGTCTTAGAGGCAGCATCTGGTGCTGTGCACAAGTCGAAAGAAGAAGCTTAAGACAGACTCAGTTCGCAAAGGCTCGTAGTAATACATTAAAGTTCTACCCCATCATTTCGCACCTGAAGGTCTAGGGTCCAGATATGGAAGGATCTTCGCACTCGATTTCGGGCAGACTGGTGACGTTGCAACAGTGTGACGGGTTACTTTCCATGCGGGGACGCAGCCTAAACCCTAAACCCTAAACCCTAAACCCTAAACCCTAAACCCTAAACCCTAAACCCTAAACCCTAAACCCTAAACCCTAACCCCTAAACCCTAAACCGGAGGCCTCCCATCATCCTCAGCCCACCAGGATCACTGCACCACGCTAGACCCGAGCCAGATACCTGCCAGAGAGAGGGAGGAGGCGGAACTACGGGGGTTCATGGTACTCATTAACCCAATTAGAATTGGACTTATAACCCCTATGATTACCATACTAGGGCACTTATGGGGCTAACAAGCGGGTTATAAGTACAGCATAATTGGTTAAAAAGTACCATGTAGACATTGAAGTTGAGGGCAGCTGTCTGAGCAACAGAGATTTTGGGGCACTCAAGGAATGACTTTTGTGACGCGGTGCCAGTCTTGTCAGTGTCTTTTATCAATCCGTAACTTCACTGTCGTTCTCCAGGGACCTAGAATTGGTTTTCAACATGGCTTTGGTTTGCCTTGTAGGCGAAGAATCAGAAACACAGAAATACAAGTGGCTTCCTCGTATATCCGGCAACTGACAATGTTTGTCAAACACCTACCGTAGGGTCTGCGACACCAAAAGCAAGCGAGCTAAAGAATGCTGAAGAGTCAGTCGGGGACCGATGTGTGTTGTTTCTCCATCTCTGTGATTTCTTTGTTGGCAAAATTTAGCTACACATCAGTTGTTACACAGGGCTGTCATGACTGCTGCCGCTCCTGCCTTCGGCAAGGCATCTAGCAATGCTGCGTTTTGCTTTTGCCCGATGCGTTCTGCCCTCTTTACAATCCTGCCTTTGCAGACCCGCGTCAGACACTTCAAGGATGCCATAATCACTCCCAATATGTTTACGCCATTTAACTTTTCGCCACGAAGTTTGAAATTCCTGCAGGCGAGGCCCCAATGTTTACTCAATGCATTCCTTCCGCATCATCCTCCACGCCTTCATGCCCTCATCGTAGTTGTCATCCTTAAGTTACCTGCCGAGCCCTCACGACCGATCTCCAAGGTTCTTCCAAAGCATCTTCAAGTTTCAATCTTGCACAGGCAGATCGGCTGGCCCGCACGATCCGCGAAGGGCTTCAACATCCGGTTGCTCTCAGGCACTTTGTGCCATCAGGGCTCCCAATTCCCGAGCGGAACCCCAAGTTACACAACAACCTCTGCAGACTTGTTCAACCGATGCTTTCGCATGAGCCCCACTATTCGCTGGTGGCGTGACAGTGACAGCCTTTAGCCGCGACCTTGAACTGTATACTTCAGCAGCTTCAGCGGTGCGCCCCCAGGGATGACCGCGCACCAGTGCCACCAGGCAAGGAGCCAGGAAGAGGTTTGAAGATTCGAAGATGTTGGAAGGTTGCGCCCGAAAGAGGATGAAGGTTTCGTGGGGATATTAGAGTTTTGGCATGCCTCTCAACAGTACGGTTGCCACAGGCTCCTTGCTATGCCACTGTTCTGCTGGGATGCACGATGGTTCCATGACTTCCATAGGCCTCACAATCCTCGCAGCAGTTCCTTCAAGGCGGCCCTAAGCCCTGAGCTGAAACAGCTGAGCTTGCAACACCGAAACGCTGAGCCTCCTCCTTCAAGACCCGAAGGTGCGCTGCAGCAGAGTTTGCGGACGAAGGCGCGATGCCGTAGGCATTTCAGGCTTCAGGCGCGATGTTGAGTGCTTACTCAGCATGCTCCGCACGCTCTCCACTATGTCACCCTAAGCCGCCGCGCAGCACATCTCACAAACCCCGAGGCCGGCCAAGAACTGCTGGGCACTCAGAGCTCTGCACTGAAAGGATTGGGGGGATGCGGTTTGGGGGGGTATGGGTGGGGGGCTTTGGATGGTAGACGAAGGTTCTGGAGGATTTTGTGTTTGCTGGACCCCATGATGGGATGCCGACAATCCAAAGCCTTGAAAGGTCTTTCAGAATGTGTGTGTCTAGGACAGTGACTGAGTCCCAGAACTTGAGATCCATGCGTAGCGCTTGAACTTGCATACCGTATACCCTTTAGCCCTAGACCCTCACTTAATTACTCCAGCCACCAAAAAGCCCCCCATGTCCCACATGGCCCACATGGCCCACATGGCCGCCCTTGAAGGGCTTCGGGTGCTTCCGATCGGCCCGGTCCGACTCCAAGCTTTCCATGGCTTTCCAGTTTTGGGCTTCAGTCAGTTTGTGTGTTCCTGCGGGAGCTCCCTCGGTTCATTCTTTTCACGGCGCATCCTCCAGCATCAGCAGGAGCCGCCCCCTAGCCCCCGCACTCTTGCCCGACCTACTCAATGTTGCCTAAGCCCAAAGCCAAAACCCCTACAGTATCTAGACTCTTGTGCGAAGGTGTGGCAACGTCCTTTCTCAAAAAGCCGAAGAAGGCAGCCAGTCCAGAGCCCTGCTGTTGCATGGGCACATTCCGCAGTTGTGGTGACGCCCCTTGCAAGTAAGACTACTTGGGGGGTTCTGTTGCCGTGGGCTCGGGGAACTTGCTGTGCATCCGAACGTGTACTCCTGAATGCTTGTGCCCGGCACTGACTCACCCGGCCAGCTCGACACACAGGCGTGCTTCGTGAAAACCAAGATGCGTCTGTAGAGACCAAAGGTTGGAGTTCCGCTGCAACAACTCATCCGCCGTCCGGTGGAACATGTGGAACCCACGGTGTGGGTTGCGCGAGAAAGCTCCCCCGTGTGATGGAGGTCTTCCGATGTCCACCGAAGTCGTGAGCAGTTATCCTGGTACAGTGTCCAACCACCACGACAGTTCTTGAAATTGATGGCGAATGTCGACATGTGGGACGACGGCGTCCATGATTGTCTGCACGGGATGGGGTGTACTCCTTCGCATGTGCTCTTCTCGATGTCGATGAGAAGCGGTCGAGGAAATGACCAGACAGCTCGTGTGTTCCGGGTTGACGGGCCTTCAGCCGTACTTCTGCCCTAGGGGCCAGAATTGATGGCTGTAAAGGGGCGGCTCGCCCCTCGTTCACCAGCTCGAACTCACCCATGGCCCTAACCTTGCACGCGAACCTGTCAGGATAGGGCTTGCACTGATGCACCAACCCCCTATGATGAGGTCTGGGGTCTTTATCTCACTCTTCCCACCCGGAGAGAATGTGTTTCTTCTCCTTTTTCGTCCGTCCTTTCGACTTCGAAACCGATCGAGACCTATAGCAGCCATCGTCGGTGCATCTATAGCGCAAAAAACTTGGTGACACGAAGCCGCTTCGTTGCTTCAATCGTTGCAGCCAGGATGTGGAGGTGTAGATTCGGAGCAACGGTGAGGGACCAGGGTGATAAACAAACCCCAACATACAAGGCAGCGCAAGGGCCCCTGAACTCCCATCATCATGTCCCGGCGACTCCTCAACATGCTGGTTCACAGGCTCGGGGTAGGGGTTTAGGGTTGGCCTTCAACCCACGTCTTTAACATGGATCATGAAAGTCAAGACCCATTCTTCATCGGAAGGTCGCCGCTCCGTTTTTTGTCAAATCTACGTTTCGAAGTCGAGAACAGCCTGCTGTTCGTGAACTTGAAAAGCGTGAAGAACGCACCCGCAGGGCGCCATTGGCCGCAGCCTCAACGCCATGAACCTGGAGTTGCCAACGCGGGGCGCCCAGCAGAGCTTGCCCCTTCTCTGAGAGCTTCTCACTCTCCAAGTCCTCCACATGTGCCTCTCCCTCAACCCTAAACCCTAAACTCTAAACCCTAAACCCTAAACCCTAAACCCTAAACCCTGTATTTTCGTTGGAGACTGGAGGGATACCGATCGAAGGCCCTTGAACCTCAATCCAGCTTCGTAGCCAACTCGCCCGCTGACAGCCAAGCTGCCTTTCAAGTGCCACAAGCAACCTGCCCTGACGAGACCCTGAATCGTTCCTGAGTCGTTCAGTCTCTAACCACCTGCTCGTAGAATTTTAAACCCTTTTCATCCATCTTTGGACAGTTCCGCACTTCCCTCGTGTAGTTGAGAGGTGCTTGCCAGATGCGGTGATACCCGACGGACAGGCACCACAAACCAGTCTTGAGGGTTCAAGTCGTTGGATTCTCAGATAAGTTCGCTGACGAATTCTTGCCGTTCCAAAGGCATGGCTTTTGCTGGACAACAGTCTCAGCTTCATTGACAAGCTTAACTCAGGGGATCTTTGTTTTTGTGTCCGCCGGGCTCGCGTTGCATGCAGAGAGAAGGCATCCACATCAACCCTTTGGGCCCGGGAGCCCCGACATGTTTTTGGTGGCTGGCTCTTGCCCCGAAGGTAGTGGCCGAATGAACGTGCTGCAAGAGGAGTAGAGGAGTGGGCTTCGCTGGCCAAGAGTCGCTTCCCTGTGAGGCAATATCTCCATGGCTACTGCAGCTGAAGGCCGCGTAATCTCAGGGACCTGTTCAAGCTCCGACATGGTTATTTCCCAAAATGGGGGGGGGACCCCTTTTATACCCCAAATAGAACAGCATCCCCTTACAGGGACCCAAAAAGGTACCCCCGATTTTCGGACACCCCCATGTGGCTGAATGAGGGTACCCTGGTGTGGTGCCCAGCGCAGAATCTCGAAGCGGCCACGAGGTTGTTGGATTTCTTGGTGCCCCGCATGCTAGATAGGACACCTTCCGTTTACAGCTCTCAATTTTCCCCGGGTTCCTCCCTAATTAGGTCGTCTGCCTATGCAGCGCCTCTTAGCCTTCTCAACGCCTTTGAGAGCCCTCACGCCGCATCGTAAACCCGCGTGCCAGGAATTGCAGGATGCCCATGCGCACCTTGCCAAGCGGTTTTCGGCGTGAGTCGGAGATCGCATAGGCTTCCAGAAGATGTAACCGGCAGGTTGGAAGTAATGGGCTCGGATTCGGCGAGATGGAAGTAGATTCAGAGCTAGGCGACGGGTCATCAGGAAGCATGGCAGGATTGAACCTTGCCAATGACCGCGAAGACGAAGGCTTGAAGAGCCCTTCAGACGGCGTTGCAGTAGAGTCAGTCGAGGGTGAAGGTCCCGGCAGTTGAGGCAGCCCCTAAGACCCTTAGGCCCTAAGCTTAATCGGTAGACCCGCTCCTATACGGCTGTACGGATTCCAGAACCTTACCGAGGGCGGAGAAGCGAGAGTCGATGCTTCGAGAACACGGCAGCTCGGCGCCAAGTTTCGATTCCTTGTGCTGCTTTGGTTGGGCCGAGCTTCTTGGGTCTTCTGTGGTTCAGGTTTTGTCTGAAATTCGTCGGCCTTGTAGTTGTGAGTTTGGAACCTTGGAAATGCTTGGAGGGCTGGATTCTTGCCCTGTGCACATGCTACACTTGCTCCTGGTCATGCAAGATTGCCCATTGTGGTTGCTGCATGCTTGCTCTGGTGATTCCTATCGATCCTGAGACCCTACACCATCCCAAGCCCGTGTGACACGCGCTTTTTAGGATTTCCACTACGAATAAGTCAGAGAAACCTGCCAGGCTCAGTACCGAATGAGGCCTGGGGACACGCCAACTCTGCCGTGACACGAAGCTCCCGAATCCCAAAGGGCTGTAATGCTTTAAGCTTGAGAACTTGCTCTTTCTTCTAGGCCCCTTTTACGCCAATGCATCCTGCTAACCTGAAAGTCATGGCTTCGTCTGTGGCCTAGCTGGAAGTCTTCAACAACCCGAGGGTCTTGAGGTTTCTAATTGACCTTCGGTGTGTGCTGCTTTCGCTCATCTACGGGAATGAGAAGATAGGGGTGTGAAAGGCTCAGAGATCGCGAAGCTCAAGTTTGAGGTATCTCTCTTGAGAATCTGGACCCCCCAGCTTGGAAAACGCCAAGAAGTTGCTGCAATTCCTTCTTGAAAGGCCAAGGTGTCCATAGGCTCTTTAAGCTGACAAGGCAACAAGGGGGCCCGGGAAGTTCGCGCCTGCTACTGGAGAGAATCCACCAACAAACGCCGACAGGTTAAAAGTTAAAAATGTTCAAAATAACAATAATACTACTACTAATAATACTACTCATAATAATAAGCATAATCATAATCATAATCATAATCATAATCATAATCATAATCATAATAATAGAAATAATAATAATAATAGTAATGGTAATAGTAATAGTAATAGTAATAGTAATAGTAATAGTAATAGTAATAGTAATAGTAATAGTAATAGTAATAGTAATAGTAATAGTAATAGTAATAGTAATAGTCCTTCCATGGCTTCATGGCTTCGAGGGAAGCTAGACCGGCAGGCGCGGCCTGCAGAGAGAGCAGTAGCGCCAGCGGCGCCAGTGCCTCAGGTGTTCCTCGGCCCGTTGGCCCAAGTTTGGGTTTTGCATGGTTTTGCATGGTCTTGCGCCTGCTCGGTTTCTCCGCAGCCTTAAAAAAAATGGCCCTAAGCGTGCCTGGCACTTCTTTCCCTTGCGTTCAAGTTGGGCGCAGCGTTGGATGGCTTAGGGCTAAGCCTGGCGGGTGAGCAGCGGCAGATGGAATCCTAAACCCGCCACCCTGGAAACATCTACTGGTACGACTCCAGCATGCAATAGTTCATACGGGTTTCCTGAAGACTGCAGCCCCTACATCCAAAAGCCGTAAGATTTCATGCCCTTCAGGCGAACTCAAACCCCATCCAGCTAAGCTTTGCATGCCCAAGCCTCAGCCCTTAAAGGTCTTCAGCCTGACGTCCTACCGCCCTGCGCCCCCGAAATCAAGACAACCCAAAAATCTCAACTCCTATGTTGACATGCTTGTTTCCTGAGGCAGCAGAATAGTGCCAACACGCGCGGCACTGGAGACACTGGCATACAAGGTCCCTGGCTTCCGAGCATGGTTCGGAAGGTGGCTTTACTTCATAGCTTCGTATTTCCTGTCGCTTCCTTGTGCCTTCCTCTGCCGGCGAAGCTTCGCACAGACCATGAGCAATGATCAGAAACCAACGCATGAAATCCAGCCCCAGCTCCCAGGCCACTGAATCTTGCGGATCTCAAGACTTTAATCTTGCAACGAAATGCCGCGTCAAAAGTGAGCGCTTAAACGCCTCTACTCGCTTTAAGTTTCCCTCCAACCTCAAAGCTGGTAGCTTGTTTGTGAAATGGAACCTTGAATACTTTGATACCTCAAGTTCTAAGGTCCCAGAGCTAAACAAGAAGACCCATAGTGCGAGTCTGAACCCTGAGCCCAAACCTTATGAAACACAAGCGTGGTGCAGGCCTTCGGCACGTGGGCCTGCCGCAGCCTTACAAAAAACCCGTTGAGGATTGGGGGGGGCATGTCGTTGACGTAGGGTTTACCTGGGTTGCTGGGTCAGGTGTTCGATGTGTCGGGACGCTCATTGTCGGAGCAGCCTCGATCCTGCTATCCATAGTTTCCATCAGCCCTGGGTCGAAGCTTTGGGGCTTCAGGGCCTTAAGAAATCCTAAGAAGGGTTTGCGCAGTCTCCGCAACATTCCAGACGGGCGGCTTTGTGTTTGGTAGTGGTTGGTTGTGAAATCAGCCGCTTGTACGGGACTTTTATTGCTTCATCTTCCGGGTTGCTGACGATGAGAGGCTTTCAGCTTTAGGTCGTTCACGTTTCTTTTCTGATTTGAGGCTTTGCGCGGAGTTCTCGGATTGCGGGTGCGGACAGTGGCTGGCCCTGCCGCCGCACCACCACGGCATCGTGGTGCATGGGCACCGCGTCACCGACGTTCCGAGGTGTTGGCGCCGTCCGTGGTTTCAGCGGCATGGGTGGCGTGGGGGGCATGTGGCGTGCCTCCTGATCAGCTTGGGCGGCGTGGCGTGCGCACGGCGTAGGCGGCGGAGGCGAAGTGCGCTTGCGCAAATGGGCATGTGGTGCAGAAGGTCTGGGCGCATAGTTGCTTTCTGAGTTCAGGTGCAGATGAGCTAGACAAAGGCTTTACAACTTTCAGGCACTACGATGCCTCTGAGCCCTGCCAAAGTGGTCGAAAGGCATGGCATTGCAAGCAATGTTTGATCCCATCGAGATTCAGAGTTCGGGGAGCTTGGCAAGTGTTTAACCCAAACATCTTTGAGATAAACAGTTCCAACCACGTGAGACCACGTTCTGTATCTGTGACAAGTGCTGGCCAAGACTTCCAAGGTCTCCAAGACTCTCCAAGACTCTCCAGAACTCCAAAGACTCCAGAAGCACTGCAGACATATTAAGGCTTCCGAGAGTCCCAAGTGTTGTCCGAAGTGCTCCTTATCTCCTTCCTGTCCATCTCCTGCGCATTCACAAAGGTTCCAGGCGGCCGCTTTGAACCAGGATCTGGAAGGGGAACTCCGATGTCAAGACTTGGGCGGCAGTTGCGGGTAGTTCTCTGGAGGTGTAAGCTTCGTGTGTCGGTCGAGTTGAATGCGATTGGGGATCTCTCACGACCCTTGCATAGCCTCCCAGGTTGCAAACGAAAAGGAAGATTTATTGAACTAGGAGTTTAGCGCGCAAAGGATCCGAAGCAAATCGTGACACACGATTGTCGCCACAAGCAGTCACCGGTCCCAAGCCTTCTAAACATTGCTAGACATTGGGGGGGGGGGGGGGGTGGTGAAACACCTTCAGCGCTGCTAGCAGCAGCTGCTCCTTTCGGTGAACTTGGCCACTGGTACTGCAGCTGCTCCTGGGCCATTGAAGCCCTTTAGTAGGCCAAGCACCAGTGAACACATAGTGAACATTTTCCTCGAATCCTCCAACACCATGATTCCTGCGCGCATTCCTAAACACAAGGGACGTGCATGGTGCACCTCAAGCCAAGCCGTTGTGTGTTCTCGTGCAGGAGCTGCATGACGGCAGATGCGTGAGGCCCTGAGGTCAATATTCAGGAGGATGATTTTGGGCTTTCCCCACGGGTTCAAAGGAGCATCTTTCCAACTTGAGCAACATCCCGAGCATCCCGAACATGAACATCCCGAACTCTCAGCCTGGAATTTCTGAAGCTCACCGGTAAAAAGTGTCAGTAGTTCCATTCTCCTTAAGACAAGCTTGTCCTATTGAAGTCCTCAGCAACCGCTCAAAAATTCTGTCTCACCTTGGCCCCTTTTCAGCCAGACTGTCCTGTCCGGGCTCCTCCGGGTTCCTCCTTCCCGTACCTGCTTGTCCTCATATCCAAATAGTTGTTTTTTTTTTTTTAATGCTTTTTGTTCTGTTCATTCACTTTTGTTCATTGCATCCTCGGCATTTTTGCCCACCCTGGCCACGGCCGGGGCGAGACGTTTGTGAGCCGGAACAGCCGCTAGGTTCAGAATGTATGACGAATGATGATGAAATGGTGACAAACGACGAACACAGCTGTGGCTGCAAGAAGTCCCTCCAAATTGTAGAGCTGCACTCGCAAATGGAAGGGGCTCCGCAGTGCGACACCTCAAGAGTGCGTGTTGCGACGTTGCGGGGATGCCCCGACATGGCCATCCCGGTCGCCGATACAAGGACAGTGCGAAGGGACGACATGAGGCACGGTGAAAGGGTTTGGTGGGAGGCGACAAGACAAACTGGGGGTCTGCAAACGAGGTTGAGAGTTCTGCAATCTCTCATGGTGCCTTGCCAGGGGTGGTCAAAACCATCCGTCAAAACCACTCATCGGCGGACCTCCTATCTAATTGAGGTTGTTGTCCACAAATTGAGACTTGCATTCTGACGTTGCAGCGCTGACAGGCATGCACAACCATAGGCCCAGATCGTTGAAAAACCTCGTCTTTGCAATATTGTAAATGTTGAACCTTCGCGAGGGCTATAAGCTTTAGCCTCCAAAACGTCTGGGCAACTCGACATGCGCTTCAAGTCTGCTCAGGCAGGGCCCATGTCAGGACGCTGCGACCCTGCAGTGCTTTGTTTCAGGTTTTGGGGACCGTTGAGAAGTTGGAAGGCTTAGCCCAGGAGAATAAGGGTTGGGAATAAGTGTGGGCAAGGCTTTCGATGTGCAATTCTTAAAGGGTTGGCCAATGAGAGGCCAACTCCTGTTGAGTTTTGAGGAAGCGCGGTGCGAGTTTGTTGGGGCTAAGGGCCGTTGGTGCGCCCGTGAAAGGGCTGTATGATCGGTACATGCGTGGTGCCATACGCCAGTATAGTATTCTGCCTGAGGAACATGTGAAGGAACAGATGAACAGGCAACCTACCAACCTTTAGAAATGAGCAGCCTCAGAAAAGGGGCACCTGGTGAGCCGTGTCGGAACAGAGAGAGACAGAGAGAGAGAGAACGAGAGAGTGCCGTGGAAGGAAGGAAGAGTGCCGTGTGTACAGCCCTAAACCAAGGCGGCCCTTTCCCCTCCATTTCCCAGTGCAGGCCCCTCCGGTAGACCGGATGGGCCGGTGGCGCTAACATCGAGAGGGAGCCTCAGAGCGACTGCGCTGCTCTCTGCTTTGGAAAGGGCTTCGCTGTGGATGTGCGCGAAGAGTGCGCCCAAACCAGATCCTAAAGCCCTCCAGTGTGCTAAACGACCTCTAGAGAAGACCGGGCATTTCAGGCAGCTTTAAGTAAGATAGATCTTTCTCAGCAACCCTGCTGATGAATCATTCTCTGTCACGGCATACTCATGACTGGAACACTCGGGGAGGGGTCCTCGGGAGGCACGGAAGCAGGAGATTCATCGTAGCAAGCAGCAGTTGCATGGCAGGCTTGATCGCTGCAATCTGTTCCCAGAAAGTCGTTCGGGTGCGTGTTCGTTCTTCTTACAGAGCCACAAAGCGCGAAAGCTTCGAGCCTTGCGCAGAATGAGCCCTTGTGAGCATGGAGCAGTAAGACATGGACCGCTGAAACTATAGGGTTCTGGGGGGGGATCTGTGGGTCAGGAATCAACGCGCTGAACCTGGAACCTGGTCCTCCGCACGTGCGGGCTACGGAAACCGGCTTGAGTTTGTGATTTCAGGTTTTCGTTGTCATTTGGCTTTGGAGTTCGCGCAGGTTCTCAAATTCAGGCCTTGAGGGAACAGGAGTTTCAGCAACAAGGAGTGGTGCTTCATGTTTCGAGTGAGGTGGTGGTGGTGCGGCAGTGTAGCACGCAGAGTTGAACGTTTCGGCTAAGGGATCTCTTGTCTATTCGCGATTTTGGTTTTTGATTTGCAGCATTGGGGCTTAGAGTGATCAGATCATTCAGCAACGGTGTGTCCTGGTTGTGGGTGCAGGGGGGAATCTTTCCCTCCAACATGGGTTTCTAGATCCATTCTACATTCTACATTGGTCCACAAACCCAAAGCACATTTGTACTCTGCCACGGCCATGCTGAACTCTAAGTCAAGACTCTCAACCGAGATGCTCTACAAGCTGGAGCACAACGATGCCGAAAGCACCAGGTCGCGCGTGCCGCAGAGAGAGATAGAGAGATAGAGAGATAGAGAGATAGAGAGACAGAGAGATAGAGAGATAGAGAGATGGAGAGATGGAGAGATGGAGAGGTAGAGAGGTAGAGAGGTAGAGAGGTAGAGAGGTAGAGAGGTAGAGAGACAGAGAGATAGAGAGATAGAGAGGTCGAGAGGTAGAGAGGTAGAGAGGTAGAGAGAGACAGAGAGACAGAGAGGGAGCGAGAGAGAGAGCGAGGGAGATAGAGAAAGAGGAAGAGCGAGAGAGAGAGAGAGCAAACTCACGGTCAGCCACAGGGGAGAAGCTGCCGACACGATCTCGGTGGGGCAGAATAGGAATTAGGAATAGGGCCTCCGAGGCCTCCTGGGCCTCCAGGAAGTCAAGCCAGGGCAATGGCCCGTTGCGAAGACACAGAGGCCGCAAGTACCGACACAAGCAGCTTAAGTCTTGACAGAGCTTTTTGGGGGAGCTCTGACAGCAAAGCCGTTTCTGGGGGGAAGTCTCACGATGGCACCGTGCCCGAAAAGAGAGACGTTGACAAACAATGAGACACACAAGTAGCTGCAAGTTAACCATGTCCCGCCCACTGAACCTGCAAGATGCAGGAGACCTCAGTGCCACAGCCCGGTTGGTACCAGAAACTGCCCCGGAATGCATCTTGGACGTCTGGGCTCGCGAAATTCGAAGTTGTCGTTACTTTGCACGTCTCACTGTTTGGAGTCCAACTTGGGTCAAGCAATATACGTATTTATGCATGTATGTACGTATGCATGTACTGTATGTATGTATGTGTGTACGTATGCACGTATGTACAGATGTAGATATACAGCATATGAATGTACAATGAAGGGTAGAACAAGAGAGAAAGAGAGAGAGGGAAAGAGAGAGAGAGAGAGAGAGAGTAGAACTCTGGGCGCGCCCAGCGCGCGGGGGGTCTTCGGACTCCTCATGCCCCGTAGAAGAAGAAGAGTATAGGGGTGAACAAGCGCCTGCCGTCTCACGGGATGATGCAAAGTGGAGCGGTGCAGTCTTGCCAGCAAGGGAAGTGGGTGGAGTTAAGGATACGGGGTATAGGGGGAACCTTGCAGACAAACAGCTTCTTGCCGTCGTTTTGCGGTCTCACACACTGACCTGAGCGCCAGCGCCGTGGCGGGGGGCGGGGGGGGGGGGTTGAACTTCTCAAGCCCAGCAGCAGAAGAAGCAAGAATCAGAAGCAGAAGAAGAAGAAGAAGAAGAAGAAGAAGAAGAAGAAGAAGAAGAAGAAGAAGAAGAAGAAGAAGAAGAAGAAGAAGAAGAAGAAGAAGAAGAAGAAGAAGACGAAGAAGAAGAAGAAGAAGAAGAAGAAGAAGAAGAAGAAGAAGAAGAAGAAGAAGAAGAAGAAGAAGAAGAAGAAGAAGAAGAAGAAGAAGCGGAAGAGGAAGAGGAAGAGGAAGAGGAAGAGGAAGAGGAAGAGGAAGAGGAAGAGGAAGAGGAAGAGGAAGTGGAAGAGGAAGAGGAAGAGGAAGAGGAAGAGGAAGAGGAAGAAGAAGAAGAAGAAGGAGTAGAAGAAGAAGAAGATGAAGAAAAAGAAGAGAGAGAAACATCTGTTGGTGCATGACGGTCAAATGTGTCTATTCTTTTCGATGTAGCACACTTGGGTAGTGCGAATTCCGCACACACGTTACAGCATGCTCAGAACCGTGCAGGGCAATATGACAGCAGTCTTCGTGGGTGCATGCTTAGCTTTTTAGCTCTTTGATACTGGAGTCTTATTCAGACGTGCCCCAAGATACCCGACAACCCTCTATCAGCCTCAAGTCAAGCCGCTGCAACAAACTCACGGCATCTCATGGCGAACACAATGCATCCCGTCAGCGGGGGGGGGGTGCACTGTTTTGGGGAAATTCGCTGACATTGCGGGGCCCTATGTGTGAGGTCGAGGCAAGACAGCAGGAACAACGAGGCGGCGAAGCAGATCCACCGTAAGCTTCGCGAACAGTGGATGACCGAGCAAACGGCTTGGCAGGCTCAGCTCTTAGATTTTGGACTCTTCGACAAGAGAATGGTTGTGTAGGCCCTAGGCAACAGGGAACGGAGGGATTTCAGACATTCAGACATCAAACGCAGTGGTAGTTCAGACGAAAGGGTTTGTGAGGCGTGTAGAACATTCCTTAAGCCGATGCGCTTCTCGGGGCAGGGTAAGGCGCCAGCCGCATCTTCGCCGGGCACGGAGCACCTCCTGCAGCAGATGCGCGGTTGCATTTGTGGTTCATTTCTTAGGGGGAGGGTTTAGGGTTTAGGGTTTAGGGTTTGGGGTTTGGGGTTTAGGGTTTAGGGTTTAGGGTTTAGGGGAGGGGGGCTGGGCTTTGTTGAGGAGTCTGCGGCCAATGTCCATTCCCATGTTCACTAGCAGTCATGCAGCCCAGTGACCGACATCCTGCAGCCCTGCAGCACCTCCTTGAATCCTCCGCGAACCATGCCGCATGCCGCTCCTGTTTTTGAGCATATACTTTGGCGGCTTCCTAGGCGTGAGAAGTATGGCAGGCGCAGTACTCGCATGTAAAGCAGCAAAAGCGGGCATCTCAAAGCTGCTGTGTAAAATTCGAAAAAAAAAACGTGCGACGAAAGTCCCAGGCCTCTTCCAGTCAAGCTTAGACCCCTGATCGTGTAGAGACTTGTTTTGCAAAACAGAAGCAAGCCCGGGTCTGTTTGTTGGGAATTTAGCTGTAGAGAATTGCCGTTGCTCATCAAGTCGTGCGCAATCCAGACGCCAGAGCAAACCTGGGTCTTAGATGAATCATGCCGTATGGTTCTGCAGGGTTCTGCAGGGTCCCGCAGTCGTGCCAGGTCACAAAGCATCGTGGGTCCATGAGTACTAGTGAAGACGTAAGCTTCGATGAATGGTTCAGGGGAGATTTCTTCCCAGACGCAAGGCAACGAGGAAACAAACACAGCATTCGGGCATTCCTTTAGTACACCGCCGACTGCTTCAGATTTGTTCTCGACCTGTTGTACTTAGGAGACAACTTTGCTTGACTTTGCCATCCCCCATCGTCGAGCAGTGTACGTTGAGGGTGTACTTCGCATACTTGACACCACATGGTCCATCACCACACGCAGCCCGCATCGCAGCGATGAATCAGATCAGTGATCATCGGCCAGCTTTGATGTGGATTGCACCAGTTCGGACGGAAGCACAAAATCTTGTGCCAATCAGAATCGGCTCCTCTATAACCAGAACGTGACGATTCTCAAGGTTCCTGAAGACCATCGGAGTGTTGCTACAGGTGATGCTGAGCCAAGGCAGTATGTCTTGAATGCTCCACAACTTGGCTTAGACCCCGCTTACTTTTGCAGGCAAAATTGCGGGTTGTCTACCAGATGGATGTTTCTTTATTTTGCTTTCGTTCTTGCCCGAAGGTTCCTGCCAGTTCAGACATCGCATAGCCACAGGGTTTGGAAGCTTGGGCGCGACACAGCCGCGAACAAAGTCGTCGGCAAACGACCCTTTTTTCCAACAACTGTTCTTCCATGCTAGTGACCCGCATCTTTTAATAGACTTTCAAGGACAGGATGATAATCTTGGAAGCGTCGACTATGACATGTGTTTTCCATTCTGGGTTGAGCTAGTTATTGGAGTGCCCCATGTTCTACTCGCATTCGCAAGAATAGTGCTTTGGTCTACAAGCCTAGACCCCGACATCACCGAGGATGCAGGCACCGGCCCCCGAAGTTCAAAGAACGATGGACGGTCAGGCAGGACAGGGCACGCGTGCAGTGATACTTGAGCCTTGAGCCTGGTGTGTTCGCTTGCCATTAAAGCTCGTGAGGCAGAAAGAAGGATCTCTGAACGCCCTAAACCCTAAACCCGGAAGCCCAAAAACCCGATTCCCTGCGCTTTCAAGGCTCCCAAGCCCTATGAAGCAATTCATCTAGTGAAAGGTTTCAGAGTCTTTCTGGCTGAGGGGCTGCTAAGGGGGGTATCCCCGGTATCCCCCAAATGGAAAATTCGCTTTGATTTTAATGCTTTTGTGTTGTATTCAGTGATAGCACTTGCTGTGCACCGTGCCTCCTTCAACAAAGTACACCAAACCTACACCCAAGTGACCTCCAAAGAGGAAAGCAAGACGATCACGGCGATAGTGGATGGTCAAGATATTGAAATGTGGGATCCTGCAGCTTAGAGTATTCTTAGGCGCAAATAACCCACTAACTCTGGACAGCTCGCACGCAGCCAATTCTTCCGCCCTTGAGATCTCTTAGTGCTGCTCCGCCCGACCAGTAGCCTTTCTTCCGCGCGGAGCTCGAAGAAGAGCTGCTAGAGTGTAAGATGCTATTCGGCAGGCGCAGATTCAGCTGGAGCCTAGGCGGGGAGCACAACCTGACCTGTTCGCTTGGGGGCGTTGGGCTATTTTTTGGGTTTAAACCCAAAATAACTAATAGTATTCCCTTAGCGTGGGTCCCTTTATACTTCTACTATCATAACACCAGAACCCTATTGTAGGGTTGTTAGGGTTTTAGACTCTGCACTCCTCACCTGGGTCCTGTACTCCTCACCTGGGTCTCCCCTGCAGTGTGAACGCATCCCTACAGTGACCAACTGATCGCTACACTTGCCCAGTCTCTGGAAGGGCGGGGGGTGTGGGGCTGTGTGGTGGGCTTTGTGGTGGGCTTTGTGGTGGGCTTTGTGGGGGGCTTTGTGGTGGGCTTTGTGGTGGGCTTTGTGGTGTGGGGCGTGTGTGGTGCGAGGGGTGTGGTGCGGGGGAGGTTTTGACTTTTTGTGGCTGTTATTACCCTCGCACCCTGCACTGGCTGGTCCAAGCAAACATGGACCCATTTCCTCTGTAATGTCCGCTTGCAAGAAAATGCTTTTGGCGTATGTCGAAGTGTGAATGGACGGTGTTTCCCCCCCCGTTCCCTGTCTCAAGAAGACAAAGGCCTTTTTCATCCACAATGTCCAACAGCAAGAAGAGCATACTGTAAGTTCCATTAACTTCGGCCCGTGGCTTGCCCTTTCCCTCCCTCCCTCCGCCCTCCTCCTTCCTCTTTGTGTTTTCCGAGCGGGGCTGAAACGAATGGTTTTGGGGGTTGAGAGGAGTTGGCCGGTTCTGGGATCTTCGCCTAGCAGGAGCAGATGTCATCCACGGGTCTCCCTAGCGCGCATCAACGCCTACATGAACCCCCCGTGCACCAAAGCGTGAAGGAGCTTAACAAAGCACCTCTGAACCTCCCAAAGTCACTTGACGAAGCCATCGTCGAACACCTTGTGGCCCCAAAGACTTACAATCACGGAAGATCAGGTCGAGGGAGCCCTTGGCTCCTGAGCTGCAGTGCTGCTGACGCTATTTGGGACGACTGGGAGGGATGTCAGGCACGATGTGCGCGGTTTCTATTCGGTCGCCTCCATCTCCTGTCGTCTTGGGTGTAGGGAGTGTAGGGGTGTGTGGGGAGGGACTGTTCTTTGCCAATGTGGCTTGGGCTGCATGGCAAAGCCACCAACCGTTGCCGAAGTCACGCTCGAAGCACCGTAGGCTTTTTGCCAACTCAGCACCTGTTCTTGGCGGCATGTCGCCAAGCACCGACTGGGGGTCGACAGCCTTGCAGCCGAACCCCCGCCCGAGCGACTCCACATCGACTGAATTCCACTGTGCCAATAAGAATTTGTCGGGACCCCAACCAACGCAACCCAAGGCTGTAGTCTGAAGAGTCGAGGACGGCTAAGGGCGATTGGCCTGATGGGGCGATTCTCGAATCGGCTGAAAATTGAGTCACATGAGTCTAACGAGTCTAGGAGGCGGTTTTAGGCTTAGTGGTTGGTCTCGACTCCCCGACCTGAAGAATTTCTGTGCTTTTCGTTCCTGCGAAGTCCAACTCTTAAGACGCCGACACTTGCAAAGCCCGAACCTAGTTTCATGCTGGTGGTTGTCGGAAGTCTGCAGTGCCTGAACGTTCCGCACCGAGCTGCCTTCTGAGGGTACATTGCGGCACAGTGGAAAGAAACGTGGCTCGAGGCCGAAAATATAGTATATTATACTCTAATATAATATAATGTAATATATATCATAATATAATGTATTGCAATACATATAACATCAAAAAGCCCAAATATATGTAAGAGTAGAAGCTCATTTGACACAAGTGCAGCGCGAGTTCTGCGTGAGTGCACGTGCAAGTGCGGCCAGGCCATGGTCGCAGACGAAGGCTCCCTCATGGCTTTATTAGGGTTTAGGGTTTAGGGTTTGGGGTTTATACTCCTTGTTTTGAGCTTCCGGTGGGATTCCATGGGAAGCCTGGGGGGCAAGAATTGAAGGATGTCTCGCTGCTGACATGGATGCGGTTGCTTGAGACAACTCTCCTTACATGGACATCGCTTCTAGGGTAGGTTTGAACATGATTTGTACGATTTGTTCCCCTTAATCCCCTAGATAATCCTTATAAGGCCATCAAAATTTACATGTTGTTGGGCCCCCAAACCTACCACAGGCTTGGGAACGAGGGAACATGAGGGTTAGGGACGGAGGTGCATTCTGCAAGCACGTATGGTAGTAGGGCTGCTCTTCCAGAATGTTTCGCAACCTCTACGCAGGGCCCTTGAGGACGTCAGCAATGCTATGTTTATGCGATCTATACGTGCAGACGTTTGCTCTGCTGTTTTTGTCCACGGGACACGAGGAATTCTGCTTGTCTTTGTATGACGCAAATGAGAATCGATTATTTCTTGGTTCTTAGGAGAGTTTAGGTATAGGCGCTTGCTACGCTTAGAGATTGAAACTTGAAGGCTACACCCCAAACTCTAACCTTAAAAACCCCAAACCTTTGAACCCCCAAACTCGAAGTGAAGCTCCTGAACTCGAGAAAACTTCGTGTCGTTCCAACTGCTTTCCCGAAGCGCAAGCATCCCACCCACACGAGACCCTGCTTCCCAGGACGCGCTGTCCGAGTGGATCCCGCAACCATGCACGGTAGGCGCCGGGTGTTGGCAGTTTTGGAACGGCTTCAGCGGCTTAGATCGGCTGAATAAAGCGTGAAGCTGTTTGTGTATCAACACCTTGGGACGTTTTGGGGTGCGCTGCGAAGGTCCCACTCGGAACGGAAGCGCCATCGCACCCCCCTGAATGTCCCAGTAAACCTCAAAATGTGAAGGTAACCCTGGAAATCTTCTCCCTAGCTGCCTCCCTACGGCCACAGTTTTTTTTTTGTGGCTATGCCTGGCGATTATGTGGGGCTGGCTGGACTGGCACGAACGCTCAGCATGGAGTTCAGGAGGAGGAACCCGCTTAAGGCATCCCCAAAACCATTAAATCGTCCAAGGCCCCACCTGAAGACACTGAACACCCGAAGCCCGAAGCCCTAAGCCCCGAGCCCCAAGCCCTAAACCCTAAACCCTAAACCCTAAACCCTAAACCCTAAACCCTAAACCTCTGGAACATCCAGGTGAGCCGACAGGCCTCCCTCTTCAGAGCGTTGGCCGTCCTGCGGATGCGTTGTTGTGGCGTGGCTCAGGCTCCACCACTTTTCCTAGGTGGGATAAGGGGGACCCTTAAAAGGGAACCCCTTTTTAACCCTCTTCTGGCTCTCTTAACAGGGGACCTTATTCAGAGGGTCTATATCCCCAAGGGTCCCCCTAATCCTATCCCCTAACTTTTGGCCGGGGGGTGACCGGTCCTGGCTTAAGAGATGTATGAACAGTTCGCCCCTGGGTTTGAAAATTGCGGGGGCCTCCACCTCGTCAATCAGCGGACGGAAGCCTTGAAATCTTAAGTTCCGCACGATTCTGGTATTCGGGCTTTGGGTTTTTTCTTCTGTTTTGTGACTGAGGTATTGTAAACGCTTGCGCGCGCCGCCTCGGCAGCCGGGCCGGCCCCAGGACAGGAAAGGAAAGAGGGTTTCGCAAAAAAAGGGAGGAAGGGCAGAGCGGGGGGGGGGGTTGGGGGGTGGGGGGGGGGGGGGTGGGGTGGGGGTGGGGTGGGGGGGGGGTGGGGGGAGCGGGGGTGGGGGGGGGGGGGGTTTGGGGGGGGTTTTTGAGGCACTCCCCCTGTAGGAGCCACCGACAAGCGGGACCCTCCACGGCATCGGTTTGCAGCTCCTCCAAGGGATTGGGGGGGGTCCCACAGGGCGGGGGGGGGGGGGGGGGGGGGGGTGGCGTCAAAAAATTTGGCATGGGGGGAAGGGTTGGGTTAGGGGGAAGGAGGCCCGATCCGGGTCTGCTTGTTCCAGACGCTTCTCGGCAGGAAGCCGAGGCGAATTTTACATTTTGCGGCTTCCTCGGTCCTTTCGACGGCAGGCCTCGTGGACGTTGCCCTTGATGACGATGACGATGTGGGCAGGGGGCCCTGGTTCGGGTTCAGAGGCGTCTTTCTTTTTTGTGTTCGGGCTTCCCTAGTGGTTGATTCAATCGTTTGTACTGACATGCTCAGATAAAATAAGGCCCTCGTGTCTATCAAGAGCACAGTCCCCAGCACCGCCGGAGATGCTGACAAAAGTTCGCATGCAGCAACCATAGCCATATCTAGACTCTAGACATAGCATATAGCCGCATATGGGTATTTCCCAAAATAGGTGCCCCAAACAGAAGAGAATCCCCTTAAAGGGACCCCCAAACAGGGAACCCCGATTTTCGGAGACCCGCACATAGCCACACAGCAACGAACAGCATTGAAGCCTTCGTGTCACATTCACCTCTTGGCTTGGAAAGCCAAGGACCTGAATCCCCAACCTCACCCAAGACACGCATGAATCCGGACCTGCTTTTACGATTATCCTCAAGATCCCCAACTAAGGCGCAAGCTCGGCCCCACAACCTCACCGTTTGTTTCGGCAGCAGCGGCCTCGGAGGAGTTTTCGTGCCAGGCCTTCCCGGGAGAGTGAGATTCAGGGATGCTTTCGCGTGAGGTGGTTTTGGGAAAGAAACAGGTATGAGCGTGCGATGTAGCACGAAGGCTACGTGAAAGGCAGCTCCATAAATGCTGCACAAGAGAGGGGGGAGCTGAGTTGGGGAAACAGGGCAAAACGACAAAGGGAGTGCATGAAGGCAAACAGGGCTCTCCCTTGATACGCTACAGAAAAGGCAACGGCACAACAGGAACCTGTCGGCATGTAACTACCAATCTGCGCGAGCCTGGGGAGCACTGCAAAGAATCCATTTTGGGTTGTGCTGAGCGTGCAAAGATTTCTTCTTCAAACATTGACATACGCATTTCTGCATGCCAGAAAGTCTAATCCCTTTTCCCCAGGCAGTGTCAACATGAAGGAGTTCCAACGTGCGGGTTTGCGGCGGTAGGACGAAATGATGCTGCACGAACGGCGCCGGGGCCACACGTTTTCCTGAAGGCCTGCTTACTTCTGGACCCAAATCGCCTAAGCGCGGACATGGCCGCGCCTCCTCGCCGTGCTCAGTTCGCGACACGCGAAAGTATCGTCGCTTTTCGATGCTGGCCCATTGGAGTGCTATTTCGCATCTGCTCGTGTCACCATGGGGTTTCACTGCTTGGGGTCGCTGGCCTTTGATCGTCAAGGCCGGGGTTTCCTCTCCATTGCGTGATCGTTGCATGATCATGCTCATACCACACAGCATGCTGGTCTGCACAAGGAATGCAACAAGAGGTGTCCATGCAAATCCCATGGTGATGGGAAAGAAAGCACGCCGGAATGAACTACAAAAGGAAAGACATATATTCATGATACAGACACGACGACATGAAGAAGGAAGGAAGGGAGGAAAGGAAGGAAGGGAAGGAAGGGAAGGAACGGGGAAGGGAAGGAAGGGGGAGGGGAAGGGCGGGAAGGAAGGGAGAGAAGGGAAGGAGGGAAGGAAGGGAACGAAGGGAAGGAAGGGAAGGAAGGGAAGGAAGGGAAGGAAGGGAAGGGAGGGAAGGGAGGGAAGGGAGGGAAGGGAGGGAAGGGAGGGAAGGGAGGGAAGGAAGGAAAGGAGGGAAGGGAGGGAAAGAAACACTCAAAGAACACATAGAAACTGAATACGTGAATCAACAAGCAACAAAGAAAGAACGACAGGAAGGCAGAAGGAAAGAACGCAATATCCACAGAACGAAAGAACGACGCATTCCTCCCAGGCGTGATCATGCGAGTGCTGTGTTTGCAAATCGGGGGCTTCCGTGAGTGGGTAGACATGCCTACTATATATTCCTTCAAACCCATATGAGTCTTTTCCCAACCTATGAGCGGCTGTCCCCCCCCAAAGCGCCCCCATGCTCCTTTTAACCGTGCAAGCTTGCTTCAATAAATGTCGTGCCACTAGTAGACATTCCTTCCACACAAATTATACCAGCACTGTTTTCAGATGGGGGGGGTGCCCGTGCTCGGGCACTCGCTTGCACGCGAACACAGTCGGTGCATGCGCATGCGCGCGTGCGTGTACACGTGTGCGCGTGTGCGTGCGCACTTGTGTGCATGCGCATCTGAGTGCTCATCTGTGTGCGCGTGTGCCTGTGTGTGTGTGTGAGCAGGCATACCCACGCCTACCCGCAGCTGACCCACAGGCTACCCGCAGACCTCTACAGGCTACCCTCGTAGGCCTGACTACAGCATCTGAGTGTTCGCAGATGTATCTGATCAATTTCTCATTTGAATGTTGGCTCGATATTCTTTGAAGCAAGCTTGCACGGCTGAATAGCAGGGGGTATAGGAGGTGCGCGTCAGCCTCCACGTGCATCCGCGCCTGCGACTGTGCACTTGCATGCGCGCGTGCCACGCGCGCACTTGTACGCGCGCACGCAGAGGGAGCGGAGACTCTTGAATCTTCAGCGAGAATGCGCAGAACGCACCATGAAACAGTCCCAGGCTTTCTTTCTAGTCTTCTGGCCCCCTTCAGACTTTTTGCACCGAGTGATGCTGTGAAATCTGTAGGGTGGAGATCCGAGGTTTCTTGAAGCGGCGTGCCAGGAGCAGCAGCGGCCTCAAGAGCCAAGAGGGCCAAGAAGGGTGTAGCTTCCACGGACTTTGAAAGACCAACGGAGTACAGTGTAGTACAGTACCCTGCTAAGTAGCTACTTCAGCTATTTTCAGCCTTTGTATGATTGGCTGATGTTTGGTGCGTCGTTGCGCGTGGATTACCTGGGGGGGGGGCCGTTTCGGCTGCACATCGCCGAGATGGGAGCTGAAGGGGGCCCAGAAAGCAAAGGTATGCGAGTGCCTCCCCATCAACCCACTTGCCCGGAAGATCCTCCCAAGGCCGGGTGCTGCCGCCACCCACTGGCCCCAGGCCACTGGAAACACCTACAGGACCCTTGGGGGCAACCCTAAACCCTAAACCCTAAACCCTAAACTCTAAACCCTAAACCCTAAACCCTAAACCCTAAACCGCGTTTGGGTTTTGAAGAGGATGTGGGGTCCAAGGCTGATGGCCTCACCGTGGCCAAGCTCTAAGTTCGCTCCAAGCTCGCGCTAACGGAGCTGTTCCGAACATGCCGCAAACCGCCAATCCCTAGGAGTGGGGTAGTTGGCCATGCGCCTTCCCTTTTCCTCTTGTGCTCAAGCCTCTTCATTCAAATGTGGCGGGGCCCAAGGGTTTGGGATTGACTTAGCTCGGAGTTTACGTCCCACAAAAAAGTAGATTTTTTGTTATATTTTTTTGCACAGTAGGACTGCCAGCTCGAACACAGGGTCTACAAGGAATGGCTGCCAAGCCTGTGCGTCCTGAACCCTAAACTGCCTAAGCAGCCCACAGGGCCCAAAGCCTCAGACCCCTAATTATTGGTATTATTATTATTCTTATTATTATATATTATAGTAATTATTATTATGATTATTATTATGATTATTATTATGATTATTATTATGATTATTATTATGATTATCATTGTGTTTTATTATGATTCTGGTTATGTTTATGATCATTATTGTTATGATTATTAATTTTACTGTTATTATGAGTATTTTAATTTTCATGATTCTTATGATTCTTTTTCCTAGTTCTTCTTCTTATTGCTATTATGAAGAGATTGCTCGGAGCCCAATACTCCAGGAAAATCATGGGAGACGTGAGCGCGGGCATGCCGCTGTTGTCAGGCGCGTTTGTTTCTTGGAATGGCGTTGGCAGACCTGCTTTCAATCTTTTCCGGGATGTGGAGTGAGCTGGAGTTCAGCCCTGGTTATCCAAACTTGAACCCTCCAATTCAGATTCACGCCCCGGATCCTACCAGGTCCTATCAAATTGGGAGGGGGGAGGTCCAACATGCCCCCATCCCCAGACTCCAAACTCTAAAACAGCGGTGAGCGCCGCGAGATTGCTAAGGGGTTCAGTTTCTTAGGGGGCTGAAAGGGCATGGCGACGAGATAGGTCAACTTTCCAGATAGTTTCGAGGGGGGAGCTGCTGCAGGCCACACTTTGGTCCCGGTGCAGGCAGGGCCACATGGTGACTCGTGTTTTTTTTGGTCCATGGGGCACATCTGGGCATCTGGGCTTATGTGCCTGTGGAGCTTGGATGCTCTCCTCTGCACTCTCTGACCAGTCAGATGTCCCTTGTCGACAAAAGCTAACTCTGTACATGAGTAGTAAAATTTTCAATCCCGGGGATCGTGGGTGGGCTGAGAAGGGGACTGGGTATGAAGATGCCGCATCCTCTCCTGCGTGGGGACACGTTCTAAATTTGCTGTATCAGGTCATGCGGTTTCGAAGAGAAACAGTCATACCCTTACTGCGGCGAAGTCCCTTCCGCTCTGAGCTGAAGAGGGTGGTAGTACCAAGGATGTGTAATGATATGTAGAGGACTCACGTGAGGGAGGACCGAGGAGTGGAGTGGAGGGTGGAGGGTGTCGAGCGGAGGCCTTCAGGAGGGCCGGCGGGGCGGGAGGACCGGGGCTGAGGAGGGCTGAGGGTGGGAGATGAGAGGCAGAGCCAGGATAGCTGGGCTCTGATTCGATGCGTGTCGATGATACTGGTGCCTATATGCTGCGGATCGATACCATGATAGAAAGGGCGACGACCACGGCTGCTGGCTGTCAGTGCTCATGTCCAGAATGAGGGCCACCCACGAGCCGCAGAGAGGTTGTTCCCTGCTGCCGCCTCCTTGTTCCTCGCAAAAGTTTGAGTTTAAGACTTCCTCGCGTTGGCGCATTGTGCGCCTGACCGAAAGCTTGGATTCATGTCATTCGTTTCGTTGATGATCTTCCGTTTCGTCCAACTTAGAGCAAAATAGTGCAATCGGGCATAGTCGGTTCCACGCAGCTCGTTGCACTGCATCTAGAGGTCGACGGCCGGGTGGTTGGAAAGGGCAACCGTGCAGCCACTCCCGTTGATAGGCTCACGTTCGCCCCTCCCTCGATTGTTCTGCATCTTGGAATTCTGTGAGTGATCGCTGTTGCGAGGGACTGGCGCCTGCTGGCCAGCCGCAGGCCGGGTCGGCCAGGTTCCGGGATACTTGTCGAGTGAGCAGTACGCAGCGAGTTCAGTCCAAGGCCAGTCAGCAGGAAGATGCCACATATGCCACTACAAAGAAGGATGGGCCCGACCCCCGTGCTGTCACGTGATCTTGCTGTTCTGGCGGCTTGTGATACAGGAATCACAGGGAGCTATCAGAAGTTACTTGCTTTGCAGTTCAATGAGGCCTTCTTCGCCAGGCCGACCCGGGGGTGGATCCCACAGTCGATCTCAGCTCGATGCCTTCGGATCGTGCGAGACGGGCAACATGCAACGCAGGTGCGAGGAATGGCGCCCCCGAGCATGCAGAGAGGGCCATGGCCGGGATCTCACACCCAGCATGCATCGCTGCCCCATGCCATGGTTCGTTAGGGTGCGTTGGTTTCAAACATCGTCTACCCCTGCATCCCTGCTTTCTCTCCAAACCCATTCAGAGGAAGCGTTTTGCTGCAAGCTGGGAGGAGATCGCTACTGAGCTCATGAAGCTGCAAGCTTTGGGTTGACGTAGCAGCGTGCCACGATGCAGGCTGGAGGCTGCAAGGCAACATCTATTGTGCACGTTACGATATCGTTGTTTTCAATGAGAGCTCGGAACGTTCTTGGGCTTGAGCCGCGATTGAACGGTTTGCAGTACGAGGCACTTGAGCCGGCCATCAAAACGGCAGCTGCTCGCCACACGATGC